ACTAACGTCAAATCTGTCAATTCAACACAATGTTCACTCTCACAGACATTGCATGCATCATCAAGAATACATCACTCACATGCATGCATTACACTTTATGCAACAACATGTCTATCATCATTACACTGGGTGGACAATTCACACGAAAGAAATTTTCAAATTATACCTTCTGCTTGCCTGAGAGTTTCCTCCCCATCATGTGGCTCTAAGGTATAATCTTGACCTCTTACTCGAGATCCAACAATTGCGTGTACATTTGAAATCCGATAAGTCCTGGTAGGACATACATTAGCAAAGTGACCCAGTTGGCCACATTTGAAGCACGACTTTGTTTCGTACCAACATGTGCCTCTATGTGTCTTCCCGCAGGTGTCACATTTAGACAGGGGGAATTCACTCATAACTGTCTCTCCTTGGTTGCCTTTTCTCTTAAATTTATCATCAGATTGCTTCGCTTGCAATTTCTTCTTTCCATTCTTGTCATCTATTTTCTTATTGTTTTCTAAAGTAGAGTCAGTTGCTCCACTAGCACCTGAAGCTTGTGTCCCAGAAGACTTCTTGCTCTTTGCCACATTATAAACTTCTTCTACTTTCCGGCATTGGTTCACAAACTTGCTAAACTCTCGGATATCACAATTAGACATCTTCCGAGACATTTTCTCATTCAGACCCCATTGAAATTTAGAGGTCATCTCGGCCGGAGTAGGTAAGGCTCTCCCATAGTTGGCGTACTTCACCAATTCGTTGAATTTAGCAAAATATTGGTCAATTGACATCGACCCTTGCTTTAGATCATTGTACTCGTTCTGCTTCTGCTCCCTAGCCTCCCTAGGGAAGTAGTTGTCCAAGAATAAAGTCTCGAACAACCGCCAGGTGATTTCCCGGCCTTCAGCTTCTAAGGGCTGCACTGTATTGGTCCACCAATCCTCAGCTTCCTCTTCCAGCATATACACAGAGTAGACCAACTTCATTGCATCAGGGCACCTCATCACCCTGAAGATTTTCTCCATAGTTTGGAGCCATTTTGCTGCCACCAACGGGTCGTAGCCTCCACTGAAAGAAGGTGGTTTATGTTTTCTAAAAGCCATCAATCGTCTTTCTTCAGCTTCATGTTCGTCAACATGCTCAACACGTGGTTGACGGACCTCGGTGTGATGACTGTGGCTTCCAGAAGGATGACTAGCCTCACCTTCATTGTTACCCGCTACACCCTCTTCCTGTGAAGGAGGTGGAGAAGGCGTAGCCGTGTGAGGAGGAGGAGTGGGTTGCCGGTTCACGGGCCTAGTACCCCTCAACGTCCTCAACTCAGTCATCATCGCGGCCATAGCAGTCCGCGAGTCTTCATTTGTTTTCATCAGATTTTCATTGGCTTGCCTGCTAGCAGCCAACTCCCTCTGAACGGCTGCAAGAGCTTCAGCCACGGGATCAGGTTGTACGCCTGTTGCCACACGGCCACTTCTAGGCCTCACAAGAGCAGCCAAAACAGTGTCTGGCTGAGCATTGACATTCGATGTTTCAGGGTTATTCTGGTTCCTCGTCATGTCACTACACATGTTACACACAGAAATGAGTTGATCAGGCTCATACTTAGTGATCACAAGTGCAATAATCATAAAGAGTACCAAAACAACTATAAAGCATCAAACACTAAGCATACTCAACAATAGCTAACAGTTATTCCCTACGAAACTGCTCTGATACCATAAAATGTAACACCCCGTTCTAGAACCGGATTGTTATCATTGCGTACGGCATTAAGCGCAGTTACAATCACATTGGTTCAATTAGAAAACTGGATAAATTTTTCCTTTTTAAACAAGCCGGATTTAAATAACCAGGTGCGTGATCATAACTATATATACTTCGCGGAATAGTGGGACAAAACTTAATATTATATTCCCATTCTACTTGACAGTACGTCGTTAAATGTCTTCATCACTTTAATTATCAATTAATTCTAAACTCCTTTTATGATTCCCATTTTCTACTATGTTTAGTATTTTTCATTAGCTACGCGTGGGTTCAAACCGCGCTCAAATCGGAGCACCGTAGCCAAAGTTATGCATTTTCTAAGAAAAGGGTGCGAAACCTCCAGAACCCCCGCGCCCGTAGCGTGAGATCCACGCCCAGAGCGTGGGAAAACAGAAAGTTGACGCCCCAAGCGTGAATCTGGCGCCCCAAGCGTGGATGCTACTGTCTGATCTCGTAATTTGGCGCCCCAAGCGTGAATCTGGCGCCCCAAGCGCCATCCACAGGGCTGGGTGACCCAAAACAAGGTCATTTAACCTACCTATAGTTTTCCACTCATAACTTGAGCTATACTCACTCAAATTACACCATTTTGGTCTCTATGGAAAGCTAAGAGAAATGTATACAACTTCCATAGAGACATCAAAGTCCAATTCCATCACCTTGGGTATGAAAATTGGTCAACCGGACGGGATGTATTTGTTTTCTCAACATTTTCCAATTTAGCACTAGGTACCTAATATAATTTCCAGCTCAACAATCCAATATTCATCATGCATTCATATCCTGGAAGTAAATAGCATTGATACAAGTTTAATTACATAACGGGGGACTTAGCTACAAAAGGCTATGATCATCTCTTGGCTCTCATCAACCAAAGAGATATACAATGGCATGATCATAGGCTAAGTCCATCAAATATAACGAGATATACATACGTCCATGCTATCAATGATCAATCCTATACATGTAAATCTACAAAACAACATGTATGATCTCAAAACATCATTTTCTTCATGCATGATCTACTGCAAATAAGGCCACTTGCCATCAGAGGCTCCTGCAGCATCCTTACCTGAAAGGGGGTCCCCACAACACGGGGTGAGATATACGAATATATCCAGTAAACCAGGGGTCCTTGGAGCATCTCTCCACCCCACAGTTCCATATCAGTGTAATAGCAATAACAATAATAATGCAGTAAATACATATCTATGCGAAGTGCAATACATCTCCAGGAGAAATCCCTCGAGCTCTCAAGCTGTCCTAAGGAAACTCAGATGCAAATAGTCCTACTGGCCAGCTAACTACCAAGTATGATTTACGCATCGTCATGCAACATACCAACATAGGGAAACACCATCCTATGCCACACCAAATGCATACACATACGTATAACAAAGCATTACACTATTTTATTGCATTTATATACACAATCACAACCTCCACCCTTTCAGGGCTTGGTAGAACAGTCAAGGGAATTACACCCAAGGTCCGAAGGCTTACCTCAGCTTCAATTCGACCTTTGTTCACCACCAACAGTTTCCACAGTCAATCAATTAAAATACTCCACTTCTCAAACAAAACCTACACAAGGTTTAATGCAATTAACATATATTGCATCCAATAACATCACATAGCTATCATCCAAGCTATACAATTCATACCAAACATAAGCATGAACTCACCTATCCAATGGAGCTAATCAAGCTCCATAGCTTGCTCCAATGGTTGATCACTCACGGTTGGTCCAAATGTCTCAATCCTAGACATCACAAGGATCCAATCATCAATCAACCAAGCCAACCCATTGGTCATAATTGCAAGAAAACTCTTCAACAAGCATGATAATCTTGCAATATACCAAGTATAGTCATTTAACTAACTAGGCTCATTTTTACCGATTAAATGACATTCCTAGCATTTTTCTCAACATGTGCTAAGTCTCAATTCTACCACAACATAGCCAATTTACTCAAATTCTCACAAAACCCATAACACTATTCATTCAAAACCCTATATCATGAAATTTCCAAGAAAACATGGTTCAAGGGTTAGAATCTTACCACCAATGGTCACACAACCAAGGATTGATGGCTCCTCAAGCTTCAATGGAGGTTGAAGCACTCAAAACCTCAAATTTCACCAAAGGGCCGAATTTTTGAGAGCCAATATCCCTCTCCACAATGCTCCCCACTCAAAACAAAGCAAGGATTATGAAAGAGGAGGAGATTTGGAGTGGTTTAGGCTTTGGAATCACTCAAAATGGTTGAGATTAGCTCCCCCTAGGGTTTCTCTTCCTCTCTTCCTTTCCTCCCTCTTCTTCTCTTCCTTCTTCTTCTTTCTGGCGACGGGAATGGGAGGGACAATTGGGTTTCTTTTGTTGCTTTGGTCACTTAACTTATGTTAAGTGGCTTTAAGCGGGTATTGGTTCGTCTATCTATTCAACTCCATTAATTACCAAACTTTACCCAAAAGTCTGGAATATTATTCTAGGAATATTTACAACTTTATTTTTATATTTTGGGCACTTTTGCCAGTACCCATTTATACTCCTTAATTTTCGCTGAGTACACTTTTTAACTCCAAAGTGACTCAGATTCATTTCATTAAGCCTTATACTTAATTTTACTCACTAAAACATGCTTAATTATTTAATTACTTGTAATTTACTAATTAATTAGGTTAGGGATATTATAGAATGTTGATTCCACAAGTGTAGTAACAAATTGCTTAAGAGCTGACAAGTATCCATTTTAGTTGTAAGATCTTTATATGTTGTTTTCCTTGGTTTATAGATCATCAATGTGGAGTGTCATGTTGTAATGCATGTAGTCACATGGAACTTCCATGGGGTGGTTTGACAAGTAAAAGAAGCCTTTGTATTCAATAATCTATACAATTCATTTATGCAGATTCAAGTTCAAATGTCTGCATAGAGGACTCGTATATATCTACAGGAGATGATCTTGTGGCTGTGAAGAGTGGGTGGGATGAGTATGGGATTGCATATGGTCGCCCTAGCTATGGTATAACCATCCGGCGTCTAACAGGATCATCTCCATTTGCTGGCATTGCAGTTGGCAGTGAAACCTCTGGTGGGGTGGAGAATGTGCTTGCTGAACACATTAACCTCTTCAACATGGGAGTTGGTATCCACATTAAGACAAACAGTGGCAGGGGAGGGCTTATCAAGAATATAACAGTGTCCCATGTGTATATGGAGAAAGCAAGGAAGGGAATAAAAATTGCAGGTGATGTGGGGGGTCATCCGGATGATAAGTATGATCCTAATGCTCTCCCAGTTGTCAAGGGTATCACAATTAAGAATGTTTGGGGTGTGAAGGTTCTGCAGGCAGGTTTGATACAAGGGTTGAGAAATTCCCCTTTCACTGATATTTGTCTCTCTGATATCAACCTTCACGGTATGACAGGACCTAGAAATCCCCCTTGGAAATGTTCTAATGTGTTTGGAGCTTCTCATCAGGTTAGCCCATCGCCATGTTCTCAGCTGAGCAGCCAAGAGCCTGGATCATGTGCTGATTACTCCTGAGATAAGATATTTTTCCTTTCTTCAAATATTGTAGTAATTAAGTGCTTCTTTTATTGATTTATTAGAATGGAAGGCAATGAATCATTCCCTTTTGAATTATATTATATGATATGCAAGTAAATTTAGTAACATGATGAGGATCATGTGTCAAAAAACATACATTAATTGTGACAGCCAAACGGTTAATTACATTCTTCTTCAAAACTTGAAATCTTGAATGATTAAGATATTAGGATCATCTCTGAAGGTCACTTTGATCTAATGTTCCACGCTAATTGGAAGCAAGTATGCGAATGATTATATTTTAAACTATGTCTATATACTTATTCAATTTTATATATTAGCCAATACATTGTAAGGTTATAAAAACCTGATGAATTCTTATGGTAAATTCATCTTCCCAAGTGGCTTACTCCAAGGTCTTTGCCTTACAATTAACCAGCCACTAAGTAATGATATGAAATCCATTGAAATTTATTCGCATACCAGGTTTGAGATTATTTAAAGGTTGTAACAAGCCAGCAGTGAACATAGCCAAATATTTGTCTCTGACAGACATTTACAACCCCTTACGTATTACTGTACCCTAGTCTTCACGCTGTTCCAATAAAGGTTTTCTACCAAAAGGCTGGTAATCCAAGGAGACGTGCTTGGAATACAAGTCTGACTGATTAATATAAGCATATGCTAGAATGAGTAACATGGTCTAAAATCAGGTTTTTCCTTGAGATCAGAAATAATTTCTTGGAGTCCATTACCACTTCTTAAGCCTACTTACTACACTCTGGATAAGAGAGTAACATGAAGTACTTCATTTTCATGCATTCTTGGTAAGACAAGTTGTCTTATTCTCTTACTTATGTATGATTTCTAATTAGTAACCAAGTTACCTGGCCATCCAACACTACTGGTTAGGGTTTGTGATCCTCTATTGAAGCAAAGTGTTTTAGGTTCTTTTGGTATGTATAAATCCAAAACTTCTCTCCAAAAGATACGGCCTCCAATACGGGATAGATAAAGTCACCACCATAACTTTTTTTTCTTATGCAGATTTTGATAAAGATCTGTCAGAGAGCCTTGCTATAGAAAATCAAGTGGCCTTCCATTTTGCATCTATAATGCTCATAACCTGGTGCCAGAGGAATCGCAATCAAACTTGGATTTCTGTGTGAAATTATGAAGTGCAAGTACTGGAGATGAAGTGAGTACTCTCTTAAGGGCATCAAAAGCCTCTTGGATGTTGCTTCCCAATGGAACCCCTCCTTTTCAATCAATTTTGTCAATGGTTTTGCAATCTTCTTATACCCTTCAATAAGCTTTCGATAGCATACAGTGAGCCCCTAAAATTCCTCTACTCCCTTCACATCTCTCGGTATAGTCAATTCAATGAGCACTTTTTTAATACCATCGGTGTACCGAGTTCAGTATATCCATTTACTTAAAAAGGAAAATTTTATCTTATTTTTGAAAAAAAAATTCCCACCACATTGCAAAATTTTCCAGATTTGAAAAAACGAGTGTACCGAGTTTGGTACACATGTAGTATTAAAAAAAAAAAATTCCAATTCAAGATATTTTGTATTTTTATAGGGTCCATGGTCACGACACCTTTTTCTGTGCTACGGATGTATGGTGGAACATCCCTCAAAAAATGGAGAGAACTCAAAAGAAAATAGCAAAAATATATTTGAATTGAAATGGGATAAAAATTTCTTTATATAAAAAGAAGATGCACCGAGTTGGGTGTTACGGGAGTACACAAAAAAAATCCCATGGCCACATAATATCTAGATATGATATAGCCTAACATTGACTGGACCGTGACTCTCCTGTAGCACTATAATATGGTCATTCATAAGCTGTTAAGGTAATCCTTTAGGATCTCTGAACTTAACAGGAAATTCATCGAATAAACCTTGCAATTCCTTTGCCCTTTGCTCTGATAGTGCCCTCTTTGTTACTGTTCCTGGGCATTAAGACCTCCACTGTCTGGAGGGAGCACTTCTCTTGTGGTCCGAGGGCAGGATGGTCAGGTCCAAAAAGAGAAAATAAAAGCGAATAGAAGAGGAAATATAAAAAAAAAAAAAAGGAGTATAAGAGTAATTATTTTTACCAAAAAAGGAAAAGGAGCACAAATTTTTTTTATAGTATATTAAAAAAATCTGTCTAGAGGATGCTTTTTTTTTTTTTTCAAAAAAAGAAGAAGAGGAATTGCCATTTTGTTGGCCTTTTTTAAAGCCCACCTCTCAATCTTCCTTCCACTATATTGGAATTGTATTGACATCTTTTTTGAAGTCCATTGTCATCGCCCCCAATTTCTCCAGCAATAACAACCGTAATTTTAAATCAATTCCTCCTAACTCCAGTACCAAATCATCTTTAGTATAACTTCTAAGTCCACTTCAAATCCCACACATTGCCTCAACCTTATACCAATTTCTTTGGTCCAGTTAACTCGCAACCCCATATCCTAGTTGAATTGAAGTAATTACTAGCGCCATTATCCACCAAAATAAAGGTTGGAACACCTTTATTTTTTGTATCCAAAACTATTTAATCCGTTTCGAGCACCATAGGACGCATATTGGGGACAACTCTCCCAACACTATATTTTTCATTCCTAATTCTCAAACGCGAAACCTAGATAAACAATAAATTCCTTGCCACTTGAATCAATGAATATTGGTTGTATACCTTACTTCTACCTTCAAGCTTAATGGTATTGGACTGCAGTAATTCACCGTTAGTGGAGCACAACAGCTCCAAACTATTACACTTCACTTCAGCACCACCACTTGCATACTCCTTATCAACCACCATTATTTCTCCCATAACAGGAGTCGACACTTCCATCTTCAGCTAGCACCACACAACCCAGAGTTGACGATCTGGGCATATTGATTTTCCACACATGTAACATTTTTCATTTCTTACTGTATAAACCTTTCAGATTCTGGACCTGTGGTTTTGGCTGTGAGTTTCCCAAGTAGCCCATTCACTCACAGAACCGACCCTAATACTTACCAAAAGCAATCAATCAAAACATAGCAGTTCAACAAGCTGGAAAGCCCAAACAAAGAAAGCCTAGTTAGAATTTAATTCCATGAAGGGAGTCACTTTAGCTAAGCTATTGTTTTCCCCAAACTTTAAAGCTATCCTAGTAACGGAAGTTGAAAACCCAAAATACTGAAATTGCAGACTCAGCTTTGTGTCTTTAAAGCATCCTAGTAACATTGCATAGATATTGTTGGTTGTTATAACATTCTCATGTTTCTGAAAGCAAGAAAGATCCAAATCCCTTTTAAATCTTATGTAGGATGCGATCAAACAAGCTAACTTTCAGGACAAAGAATTTAGAGATATTTGCGTGGAAGCACAGGACACGGAGCTCAGGATCGTATACATCGATGGAAATAAAAAAATCTACACGATGCTCACAAAATCTGCAGGGATTAATTCTGCATTAAAAAATGCACTAAAATATTATATTGCATAAGCAACTTATTTCTATTATGTAATAGTTATAAGCGGGGAAATGAAATTTGCATACGGTTGTAACCTAGAGCAAGCTGGTATAGAAAGATCCTGGTTGTAAACTCTTCAATAAGATTTCAACACATTTCCTCCACTACTACTACTTATCATTGATGTTAAGCTGTCACAACACAAGCTTTGGGAAAAGTTGTCAATTAAGACAAGAAAAGAAATTGAACTACAACCATACTTCAATTTATCTCATAAGAAGCAAAGAGAAAATTGAAATAGTAAAAAATAAAGAACAAAGTGAGAATTTTTCTCTATATTGATAAAAATGACATAAATTTGATTTCGACTTCGCTACAAAACCCAGCAATCTCAAGCCCAGATTCAACGCAGACAATACAAAATAGGAATATGTATTCTTCTTCATATGTGAGGAGGTCCCAGCAGTCGAACCCACCTTTTGTCTGTATTAGGTTCAGTCCAAGATTTCCACTGCTCATAGTGTTTTCCAATTTATTTCTTATATATTCGTTATAATTATTTGGGAAGAAAACAAAAGCCACCACAAATTAGACTTCACAACATGCACCTTGTGAACACCACTTAGTAGGATGAACTATAAACCTTGGTTATTGTTATATACTCCCACGAAGGAGCAATATTGTTCTTCATGAACCCAGTGGTTGACAAATTTAGCCAAATCAAAGCAAAACTCGATCAGGAGAAGCATTAACACATGATGTTTAGGGAGTAGGCTTTTAATTTAATAGTCTCTTCTGTTCCATTTATTGTAAAAAAATAAAATAAAATAGTACCCAATACTAGAACATTGTTGATTTAAAAATGAGTATGTGCCTCACACATAAACATAATCTTAACCAAGCCAAAAATGATGTCTGTTGGTCAAGAAATTAACGTGACTTGTGAAGTACAGCAATTATTGGGAAATAATCGAGTGATAGCTGTAGCTATGAGTGAACAAAATGATCTACCACATACTGAAGAGCAAATAACAACATTTCCATTCATCATATATCTCAGTACAGGAGTTGGTAGTGGCAATACAAAGTATATTATTCTAATAAATATCCCTAACAACCCATAAATAACATAAAAACTTAGTAGTAGTGCATCATAGTATATCAAACTACACATACATAAATGCTTTCAACATCTCTGAAACAGATGCAAACTTATTTACAATCATACCCAAACCCTTCATATATATAATATATATAGGCATCACTATATCATTGATTCAGTTGCATCAAAATCAGAACAAGTCCATGAACTTGTGAATCGTCTTCGTGAACCAACCCTCCCTATGCTCTTCATCGCGATGATGATGATGGCTATGGATATGATGATGGTGATTGTGGAGATCCATCTTCTTCAGGAACCTCTTCTCGGCATGGGGAAACCCCATCCAACGCGTCGTGATCCGGCCAACGTCGCCGTTGAGGTTCGCAGGATTGAATCCGTCGCGGTGGTCACCGTTGGCGGCGTTGCTGAGCACGATCGCGTCGTTTCCGTACGGGATCTCGCGGCGGTGGTGTCCGTGGCGGCAGCGGCGGAAGGCGTGGCGGATGGATAAGGGTAACGGACGACGCGGATGGCCGTGACGGTTGATCGGACGGAAACTTAGGAAAGTCAACGGAACGGAATCGAGTGAGTCGAGGTTGACTGAAACGGTGTCGTGTTGCTGGGGTTTGGAGTTCCAGCGAGTGGTTTCGGGTTCGGGATGGATATCTGCTGCGGATCCGGATTCAGATTCGGTCTCGGATTTGGATTCGGCTAAGGTATGTTGGATATCACGGGCGTATGAGAAGGTGAAAAGGAAGAGGAGGGAGAGGAAAACGGTAACAGAAGAAGCGATTCTGGCCATGGTGTAATCGTAGCGATGGAAAAGAGAGAATGGATGCGTATTAAAGGGTTTAATGAAAGGGAGGAGGACTATCTGGGGAAGAGAAATTTCTTGCTTGCACCTTAAGACGCGTTGTGAGACTTGACTTTATTGGAGTGAACATCATCATGATTATTATTTGATTATTTTTAAATGATTTTTATAGATGTAGACGTAAACAAAAAAATAATGAGATATTAAAGTGTATATAATTGAACTTGGTATAGAAAAAAAAGAGAGTTACGTTATAATTCTAATATTTAAATGGAGAAGGATATTGTAACAATCAATTAGTATTACTATCAATTAACCCCCAAGGGTAGCTCAGTTGGCAACTGAGCTCTCACGGGTTTGCTTGAGACAGGGTTTTCCTCGAACGGTCTCATCCTTCCTCCGATAGCGAAGCTCAATGCACCCGATTTCCCAATAGCCGGTAGCGAAGCTCAATGCACTCGTTGTTTCAATGAGAAGCTAGCCTTCAGAGCCGTACTCTGAGGACAAGGTGACCGAATGAGGTTAAATGGGGATACCTCTAGGTTATACCAAAAAAAAAAAATGTTACTACCAATCAATTTCACCGTTAGATCGATTATGTTGATCCAACGGTTATATTTATTTTCATCTTTGTATGGTTATGATTTCCTATATTTAATACTTTGTATTTATTTTTACAGAAAAATATTTTCTGCAATTACTGCAAATAAGTTATCTGCATTTATTCCCAAAACGATATCGTTTTAGGATTGAAAAATTATATAAAAACTATAATAACCCTGAAATAAATTAAAATTACAAAAATACCATGATTTCTACCCCAAAACGACGTCGTATTGGGCTTACTGCAGATAACTTATCTGCAGTTACTGCAGAAAAAGCGAACTCTTTTTTTTTATTTTATTTTTGGTAACCAGCGAACCCTTATTTTTATTTTTGTATGATTATGATTTCTCATATTTAATGCTTTCACATTAAATATGGGGAATCGTAATAATACAAAGATGAAAATAAATATAACCGTTAGATGATCAACGTAATCGATCCAACGATTATATTGATTGATAGTAACATTGATAGTAACACTCAGTGTTTTAAATTTCGGACCGGTCACTGTTGACATATTAAAAAAATTAAATATATTACTTATATTAAAAAGTCACATAAGAAAACTATCATATATATATATATATATATATATATATATATATATATATATATATATATATATCTCATTTTTCATGTAAAATGTTTCTAATTTGGTTCGTCAAAAATAGTTAATTGGCTACGCTATTATAAAATATGGATATTCAATTTAGTAAAGATCATTGTCAATCTGTTAACAAAAGCCTGATTTTTTAAATCAATAGAGCTCTCAAAATATTTCCCTTGATTTTTTTTTTTTTGAAGCACGTAGGTAGGTAATGACAACAACAATAATTAATAATAATAACTTAAGCAAAGTTAGAATGAATAATTGCAACAGAGAAAAGACAAAATGCTGGGTATTGATTAATAAACCAAAATTATCAAACCAGTTGTGGAATGGGAGTGGATTGAGTGGTCAAAATCCTAATGAGAAATAGATAACAATGATTTACTTGTTCAATTTCAGCCATTGATTTTCGTCTTGCAAATGGTTGTGCAGCCTTAAGAGTTAAGACAAAAAAGAGAGATATGAGAGTGACGCCAATCTCAACCAGTGAAGAACGACAATCGACGAGATATGAGAGTGATTTAGATTTTTTTGGATGAAAGTATGAAACTCAAAGACTGGAAAACGTCGTCTTCATTTTATAGCACTTATTTTTTTTAAAAAAAACCTTTGACGGTCCAAACCGAGTCCCCTATAACTCGCCGAGTCACCAAGATCCGTCGAGTCAACCGATCCAAACCGGGTCAACTGCGTAACAGGTCCAAAGGGTAGCTCAAATCGGGGAACCCACCGGGTCGACACGGTAGGTCCGGTGAGGTTTCTTAAACACTGGTAATTCTAATTGGTTGTTACAATATTCTATCCCTATTTAAATTGCTTTTTTCTTTCTTTCTTTCTAGGGAAGACCTTGTCTTAAAGTAGGACTTTAAAGTGTGTCTCAATGAAATTCGAAGAAAAGAGAGAAGGGAAGAGGGACAAGCTTTGACGAAGCAAAGGAGTGTGGAGGAATCAAAGGTTAGTGTACTTGTAGCCTTTAGTATTTTGTCGTTAATATTTAATTATTTATTGAGGAAGACTATAATTTTTTTAGTATAATTTACAACATTTTTTTTGTATTATCACATTTTATAATTATTTTTATTATCGTTACATTAAAATTAAATTAAAAGTTATAAGATAATATTAAGTGAGAATTTCAAATGATAATTAAATGGTTGTAATAGATTATAAGAAGAATAATATTATAAGTAATTATAACAAGTTATAAGAAGAAAAGTGTTATAAGCATTGTTTTTCCCGGGCATCGACCAGGTCAGGGTACTGGATTACTGGGTCACTGGTCGAACCAGTGGATCATAGGTCGGACCGATTGACCCAAATATATATAGATATATAAAAATATATATAAATATGAACATATAAATTCAATTATATTCTCCATACTTAAAATGAATTAAACAAGGTTCATTAAATAAATTCAAAAACAAGAAGCATAAATAAATAAAAATGCATGTTATTACTATATTAATTTAAATTGCAACTCAGAATCCCCATAAACATACCTTTCAATGATATTGAACTCATATTTTCAAATTCAACTACATTAAAAATGACATATATCACATTCTTTTTTGACAAGATGAAACAATTTTGATTTTTTTTTAAATGCATGACCCGACCGGGTCACCGGGTCATCGGTCCAATGCTTGACCCGAACCGGTCCGATGACCGATTCACCGGGCCGGGTTTTACAACTATGGTTATTAGTATAATCTCCTTCATATTTTTTCATTCATATGTCATATTTATTTCCATTATAAAATGAAACATGTAATTGAAATACAAGAATGCGATAAAAACAAAAATCAAAAAAATATTATAAGAACGATTATGAGTAAAGAGGATAAAAAGTTAGTGTTTCCATTTTAAAATTATTCTTTGTTATTACAAACAACGATTAAGACATAAATTGAATTCAGTTTCAATTGAATTCTCTTAATTTTATTTTTCGATTTCCCTCTTCCAGTTGAGTCCATGTGACTGTGAGCATACCAACCTTAAAAAAAATAAAATTGAATTGAATGATACTATAATTTTATACAATTTATGAAAATTTTATTTATGATATATTTATTTTTCATTTATATTAATAACATTAATATATTATGTGTCAAAATTTGTATAAATAATATAAGATAACATATTAATCGAATATTTTTCCTGGCACATGATATCTTTGAGGAAAAAGTAATCAAAATATAATTACGATTGAGTTAACAAATTATTTGATAAAATAAATAAAAATAAAAAACAACACTTATATATAAATATTTCTCATAACCTAAAAGAATTCAATTAAAATGTCAAATAACGGCCTTTTTTATTTGATTATGTATATAAAGTTAAAAAATACATCTAAATAATGTTATATATAAATTAAAAAAATTGAGTCATACAATTATCAAATAAGTTTTTGAGTAAATACCCTCTTGGATTCCTAACAAAAATCACGGTCCCCACTTTAGTCCCTTACAAAAAAAATTAGTCTCGAGGTCCGTAAGAAATTCAAAGTAGACCCATTTTAGTCTTTCTGAGGGACTAATGTGGATCTTTTTTGAATTTGTGAAGGACCACAATTTTAACTAAATGGGTTCATTTTAAATTTCTTAGGGACCTCGAGACTTTTTTTTTTTTGTAAGGGACTAAAGTGGGGACCGTGAATTTTGTTAGGGATCCAAAAGGATATTTACTCTAAGTTTTTACTATGACTCTCTCTCTATTATACTTTAGAAGATTATAAATATATTTGGAATTATTCATTGTACATCAACAAAACTTTTAGCGGAACACTATTTTTGAAATATTTTGACAACAAAGTTTTTTAAAGCAAAAGAAATCAATTAAAATTTGTAGTAAGTATTTATGTTATAAATAAAAAAATTCACATATTTATAGAAATTTAATTTAAGGGTTTTATTTATTTCAAGTAATTGGAAAACAAAACTATAATAACCCTCACATATAATTGTGGATTAAATTTTTTTATCATAATATTGAAAAAATAATTAGAGGGAAAGTATAAGAAAAAGAAATAAAGTCACATTTGGTGAAAAAGAGTAAAAAATGACAGTTAAAGGGTAAAAATGAGGATAAATAAAGTTATCCAAAAAGTGAAAGTAAAATTATAAAAATTAACACAAAAATATTCTAAATCAATGTGCCAAGTTAGAAAGAGAGTAAATAGATAAGTTTACTTAAGTGTTAGAAAGCACTCTCATTTCCTCACTTTCTCTCTGCTATCGCCGAAGACCTTCAAAGACAAAAAGAAGAGCTCTTCATTTCTCCCTCCATCTTTGCTCCATCAAACCCTTTGAGAGATAAGATAAATCACTCACAAACCTCCATTCTCTCTCCCTTGTTCAACATCTCCACTTGTGAGTTAATAAAGAAAAAAGAAAGAAACTCATTTTAGGAGTGCATTTTCAAATTTGGCAAAGAAGGGAGGAAATTTCTTTGTTCGAAGCTAGAAAACTCTTCCTTCTTGCTTACATTGGAGCCCTAGGTAATTATCATAAACCCTTTTGTTGATTTTTATGAAAATGCATGAGATTAGGGTTTGTAAATTGGGATTTGATGGTATGGATAATTAGAGAGTGATTTGGATATAGTTTCCTTTGTTAAATATGTTTCTTCTTGATGAAAGACAACATAAGAAATCACTGTCCAACTCTCTATAGAATGGGTAATGATTATCTCAATACCTAGGGGTTTTCAAGAGCAATGGAGATGTGGGTTAGGTTTGTTGGGTGATTTACTTGAAGTTTTATGTAAAACTCTAAGTGTTTTGATGAGTATTCAAGGAAGAACAAAACTTCCCCTTTGTCATGGTGTGGCTGCGAGTTTCATGAAGGAAGAGGGAGGAAGAAGAGAGTGAATAGTAGTTATA